GGAGGGCATGGCCAGAACAACACTGGGTTACTCGCACCAGTTGGAAAACCCGTGACTTACACACCTTTCAGTGGCCACGACCCCTGAGCGCTCGCTCAGCCTGTGCCCTGAAATCATTTGGTGTTGAAAAGCTGGACAGAAAGGTTTGGAAATAGCACACGTTTTCTTTACTTAGAGAAGAGCATTCTGATTCTACTTTTTAGATCAGTCTTTGGACAATTCTTCCCACGACCCTGTCCCAAGATCCAGTGGGTTATGTATTTGATAAATTGCAGTAGACACTCCTTGGGTGGTGGCCTGCTTGAATTTGTGGTATTTACCCAGCAAATATTAGTGCATTCCCCATTCAGTAAACAGTGTATTTAGTTCATAAGCTGTACAATAAAATACACACATTGGAGGGGCGCCTGGGTGGCTCAGTCGTTAAGCATCTGCCTTCGGCTCAGGTCATGGTCCCAGGGTCCTGGGATCGAGCGCCGCATCTTGCTCCCTGCTCCGTGGGAAGCCTGCTTCTCCCTCTCCCACTCCCCCTGCTTGTGTTCCCTCTCTCGCTGTGTCTCTCTCTGTCAAATAAATAAAAAAAATCTTTAAAAAATAAAATACACCCGTTGGAATTACGTGTGCGAGATCTGGGGACACCCTGAAGTGTGTAGTTAAGGCCCTTGTCGTGGTGTGAGGGTCCTGGTTTTGCTAGTGTGCTGTGGTTATGTGAGATGTGATCACTGGGGAAGGCCGGCTAAAGCATATATGGGAGCAGTCCGCACTATTTTTATAAATGGCCGTGAGTCTTAAATTACATCAGAATAAAAAGTAAAAGCTTGTTTTCTTTTTAGGAGCAAGACAGAATCAAAGAGATCCTCTCATCTGGTTGTTTTCATACTGGACTTTTAGCACTGGCCTCCCTCCCTCACCCTCAGCAGCCCACGGGCACCTCCTCACAGCTGGAGGGCCCTGGGGAATCTACCCCTTTGAGAGTGCTGTCCCAGTCCCTTCAGATTCCCGATGAGAAAATCAGAGCCCAAAGGGGTAAAGCACACCGCTAGTTAGCAGCTATGGATAGGGACAGAAAGAGCCTGGGAGCCTTTCAGGACAGTTGCTTCTGTAAATCATTGTAAGTCCTAGCTCTTTAGCTAACACCATGGTTTCTCTTGTCAGACAAGGTGAGATTAATTCGACTGGAAATGCGTTTCTGTCCTCCTGAGTTCCCTTTCCGTGGAGACAGAGATGAGCCGTCCTTAGGGTGGGAGCAGTGAACAGGCGGGTTGGGTTGGGGGGCTGTTTCACGGTTCACCACCCAGCGCGGGGCACTCGCCTGGGAAGGCCACTCTAGGGCAGAGGACAGGAACTCAGGACCCCAGAGGAAGTCCCCTGCCTCCTTGCCAACTTGGCCTCCACTCCAGCCACCCGTGAGCCCCATAGTTGATCAGCTTTCGTCTTCCTTCCTTCCCATTCTGACCCAAGTCACAAAAGTATCGTTGGAAAACCTTGGGCATCTTGGACTTTACTTCCGAGGATAATATAATTGTAATAATCTTGTATTTGTCTAGGGGTTTTTGGGTTGCAAAGCCCCGTCTCGTACATTCCCGAAGATAGGCCCCACCCCCAGGCTATGACATAGGCAGACTGGTTTTATTTCTGCTCTGTAAGTAAGTGACATGACTTGTCCAAAGTTGTTGAGTTTGTATCAAGATGAGAGTCTGACCGCAGGTCTGCAGAATCCTGGGAGATGCTCTCTTTGTAGGAGGACATGGGCATGGTAAAGCACCTGCATGCACTTGAAGATCAACAAACAGGTGTTACCATTATTGTGTTACTGTTATTCTCGTTAACATAGGCATGATCCTTGGCCACTTGTGATTTTGGCGCCTGAGGACTCCAAGACTTGGTCATTCTCCAGACTTCTCTAGGAGGTGGAAGTAACGGTTTGCTCTCTTCCTACACCTCCAAACGGTTGGGGCCTGAAGATGCCATATGGGGATCTGATGAGTAAGACTTAGATTTTCCTGAAAAGTCAAGCGAGTTGCCCGTGTGCCACATCCATAGAGATCTGTGTGACGACGAACTGGCAGGACAGCCGCCCTGGAGCTGCCTGGCCCGCCCAGGCTCCAGAGGGCTGTGTGTGAGCTGCCATGTTTATTTAGTGCCAGTTGTTGATGCCTTGCTTCTGCAGGGGAAGCTGGCTGCTTCCTTTCCCCTGGCATCCTCTTTGCCCTCCACAGGGTAGGACGTAACCTTTGCTGTCAATGTGGGGACTTTTAATGGATACTGACGCTGTCCTGTGCCCTCAACATTCTGCCTACTATCTGGGATATTGGAAAAATTGGTGCAATGCTCTAATGGTGAAAGGCTAAGCCTGTACTTAAGCCTATACTCACAGCTACTCCTCACCAAGGAAAATAATCTCCCAAGGATGGCGTTGATTTTTCACACCCGAAGGGACGTTTAGAAAGTAAACTGATGACCCAATTCAATACTGCTCATCATTCACACACACCTGCACCTAGCACCCAGTAGGCACTTACTAGATACTTGTCAAATAACCTTCTCTAGCAGTGGCTGGCTCTCAGTCTTTAGTGTACCTGCCAACATTAGGATCACCTGAAGGGCTTGTTGAAACATGCAGCTTGAGGCCTCACAGGGTTTCTGAATCATTTGGTCTGGGTAGGGGCTAAATAATTTCCACCAAGTTGCAGGTGGTGCTGGAGAAAACCATGGGCCAGAAGAGATGGGCAAAGGTTTTCTGTAAGGGCCAGATCACTAATAATTTAGGCTTTGTAGCCATATTTTAGGCTTTGTGGGCTCTGTCTACTCGACTGTGCCATTGTAGCCACAGAAAATATGTAAATGAACAAGCATAGCTGTGTTCCAATAAAACTTTATCTACAAAACAGGTAGTAGACTTGTTTTAAAAAATGTTGTGTTGGGGCGCCTGGGTGACTCAGTTGGTTAAGTGTCTACCTTTGGCTCAGGTCATGATCCTGGGGTCCTGGGATTGAGCCCCGCACCAGGAGGTTGGGGGGGGGGTCCCTGCTCAGCAGGGAGTCTGCTTCTCCCTCTGCTCTTCCCCCTTGCTTGTGCTGTCTCGTGCGTGTGCGTTCTCTCGCACACGTGCACACTCTCTCATGCGTGCGCGGGCACACTCTCAAATAAATAAAATCTAAAAAAAATGTGTTAAAAGTATAAAACTTCGTTTAAAAAAAAGTTAATAGCCAAATCTTCATTCCGGGTGGATGTTTTTAAAGCTCTTGGATGGGAATCAGTGTTACAGATGCAGATACTGGTCAAATCCTATCTTGACTATTCACTGACCACATGACTTTGAAGGTCACTAATGTCTCTGTAGAACGAAAATAATCATACAATGAAAAATCGGGGGGAATGCTAACATTTATCAAGTCTGAATGGTGCTTACATGTTTTGTTTAATATCCCTATAGTATTCTGCATGATTGAAATTTTCCAGGATTTTAAAATTCGTGACTTTAAGAAGTAATTACAGTTGACCCTTGAACAACATAGATTTGAAAGCATGGATCCACGTACACTTGGATTTTGTACGCTACATTAAATGTATTTTATGTTTTTCTTAACGTTTTTTCCTCTAGCTTACTTCATTATAAGACTACAGTATGTACTACATACAGCATACAAAATATGTGTTAATCGACTGTTTTATGTTCTCCGTAAGGCTTCCAGTCCACAGTAGGCTATTGGTAGTTAAGTTTTTGGGGAATCAAAAGTGATACGTGGATTTTCATCTCTGGGGGAATAGGTGTCGATGCCCTTAACCCCCGCATTGGTCAAGGGTCAACTGTATAATTCATTGGCATATGTGGCTTGGATATGAAACTTAGGTTTCAAAGTCAACCAAAAGATGAATCACCTTATAAAATCAAAATCACCTCTGAAATTCTCTCAAACCACGAGCACCTAGGCTCTTAGAAGGTCAAAAGCCAAGAGTAGCTTTCTTTGTGTATCTTTACACAAAAGAAACACTAGACTAAAGGAGAAGTCAGGCTCAACATGTCACAGTGGAGGTGTTAGTCTCATGCCCTTCACCAAAACCCTGCTCCTCTGTTGTCTTCCTTAATTCAGTTAATGGCAGCTCTGTATTTACGGCTGATTTGGGCCACAAAGAATGATTCAGGAGGAGGAATTTAATAAGGAAGTGTCCTGATATGGACTTGAGGAATGAAATTGTTTTATATTTCAAGCAGGACATAAAGGTCTTTTGGCTCAACCCTCCACTTTTGCATATTAGTAAACAGAGGTCCGAGAAACAGAGGCACTAATCGACATAGATGGACCCACCTAAGCATTTAGTAGGACTGACTTGTTTTGTCCTCATAACAGCCACGTAAGATAAGTGCTGTTAATTTCCCAGTCTACAGATGAGGCAGAAAGGATAAGTTATTTGTCCAAGGTCACGCTTCTGGGAGGTGGTAGCCATGGGACTGAACCCAGGCAATCTGACTGCAGAGCTGTGCTCTTTGGTTACGACACTCTGCTGTGTATAATGTTTATTTCCTTATCTGTAATCTGTGAATTGATGAACAAAAAGGCTACTTGAGAGAAAGCTGTCTTGTACCTTCAGTAATTTGTATGTTATGCTAGGGAAGGTAATGAAATTGCAGCAGGGGGCTATGGGAAGTGTACTTTCAGTTCGTTTTCCAATTTTCACCTGATTTTCCTGGAGTTTGCCCATGCAAATGCATATGATGCTTCGGAAATAGTGCAGAAGCAGGAAGAGGTCTCTGTTGGTTTGGGTGTGTATGTGGTCTGAATACTATATTTCCAGAAAAATTGCCCAAAAGGAGATCACCCCAACTCTACTGAGCGGATCCAGGGTCACTCAGTTCAGCTTCAGAAATATGTCCTGATTTCGTGTCTATATGAACCTTGACACGGGGAGGGGGGAAAGTGGTGGGACCTGACCTTGGCTTAGTCCAAAGATCTGTTCCTTTGATGTTGGAATGAACAATGTGCTTCTTCTTCCTGCAGGACCCCAGAAGCAAGCACAAGTTTAAAATCCACACCTATGGAAGCCCCACCTTTTGTGATCACTGTGGGTCCTTGCTGTATGGACTTATCCATCAAGGGATGAAATGTGACAGTAAGTTTTTCTTTTCCAGTAGATGGTGAGGCTCTGCAGCTTATGCCCGGAGTTTACAGAGCACCTCAGCTTCACTACCCTTTCAACATCAACTCATCAATAAAAAGAACTCGTTCAAATATATACCACACCGAAAAAAGTGTAGGACCTCTCTACTGTCAAAGTACTAATTTATTAAACTCCTTACTTGCCAAATTGTGAACCAAAAACAAGAACAAAAACAAAAAAACAACCCCACCCAATTTATAAATGAAGTTAGTGCTGTCATGGGGTTTGTTTGTGTGTGTGTGTGTGTGTGTGTGGTAGAAATCTTCAGTCACTGTAAAATGCAGGCTAGTCCAACCCCAAAGCAAATGCCATGTGTTGAAAGAAGAATCCCCACCTCCAGATTCCACATTTGGTTAGGCTTCAAAATAAGCTAAGCAACCATAGTCATTATCTTCCTGTGTCTCTAATTAGTGGGTGGACTGTGGAAAAATCCAGTAGGCTCTCCTTAAAACTGAAACTACGATGAAAATAAAAATCAGACATCTGAAGTTCACAGCGCCCTGCTGCCTCTTTGTGGACAAACCAAATTTCTGTCAGTCCAGTTAGAGATGAAATCACTGAAGGCCGCGGACAAAAAGGCATCAGCCCCTCCATTCTCCCTTTTTTGCTCTGTGTGTATCATCATCTAGTAGCGGGTAGAAGGAAAAAGAACTCTGGAAACTCTTTGCTTTGATAATTCTTATGAGAGTCCCCAGGCCATTTATGTGTTTAAATAAAGATGTATACTTTCAGGGCATAAAAAGGTAATTACTGAACCTGTTTTTCTAGTAGACAGGGAAGTGTTATGGAAATATCAATATGTTGCCATTATTAATTACTGCTATTTATGGCCAAAAGCTTTCTATGTGCATTCTACATGGAGCAAAGATGGCATGTATATAAGAACCAAGATTAAGTGAACATCGTAGAGCAGGTGGATATTTCTCAGCACACGGGGGCCCTTCTAAGGGGACACCTTAGAAAGCTGTCCAATTTAATAGCCTAAACAAAACATTTGTGATGATCCAGGCCAGTCATTTTCTGTGTTTTGAGAAACCCTCAGACTCCAAAGACATGGTTTTCAGGGGTTCTGCAAGTGCGAATCCTAAGTGCATTTGTAAATCTACTTTTGAACTCTTTTAAAAACCATGGAACACATGTGAACCCTTGAATGTGTTACACACTCGAGCTTGACAAGTTGAAGGTGACGGCAGAGACCCTGTTACCAGCTTCACTCGTTGGGCAGGACGTGTCATCACGTTTCTCCCGCCATTTCCACCTAACCGAGGAGTCCACCAGCTTGCACGTTGTTGGGCAGTGTTTACCATTTCTGCAAACTCTTCTGCGATGGGCCTATACAACTCTACCCGAGTACAGAAGTAAGTGCGTTGTCAGGGCGGGACTGAGACAGCTGGTTTCAAAATTTTGTTTGGGTCAGAGGGCTTTATTGGTGATCCGTGCATGTCTTTGTAATAAATAAATGGTATCAGTTCGCATTTATTAACTAAGTTTTTGCTGATGAAGTAACACTCATCTGGTTTATATGTTAGGATGCTGCTTAAGAGTTTGTTTGAAAAATGGGTTCCATTACTAAAAAAAAAAAAAAAGTTGAAAACCGCTGACCCGGACCAGTGCTTTTTGTTTTGTCTTCTTTTGTTTTAAACTCTTTTCCTCGGAGTCATAGGGCTTCAGGGGCTGCTGCCCATGCTCTTTAAGGGAGGCAGATAAGCAGATGGGTGCCAGGAGCCCAACCCCTTCACTTCACTCCTGCAGACAGGGAACCTCTCCCTGTGCCTTCACACGTTGCAGGGTTAGAATACCATATACAGCTCTGCTTGGTAGGGGAAAGACGTGAGCAGCCCCTTGTCCAGACCAGCCTCTTGGTTTGCAGAGCAGGAGACGGAATCAGAGAGAACGTTTGAGCTTCCCAAGATTGAAAAGCCGCTCATGGTGCAGCCAAGACAAGAATTCCACCCAGGGTGCTCCTGCCTCCCATGCTCCCCTCCCCGTGGCGCTTCTCCTTCGCAGAGAGGCTGGCATTAATTTCTTTGAAGTTGCAATTCTGCCCCAGCACTTCAAGATAGGAGTTGGTGAACACACCTCCTGTCAACGGCCCACCTTGTCAAGAAGCCCTTATATGGGCTGCGTCGAGGTGGTGCACGATTTGGAACGTTAGCTTTGGAAATAGAAACCTAAACAGAATCCACATGTGTGAAGCAGCGGATTGTTCTTTCCTCATTGTGTGCATTATCCTGCTTCCCGTATCGAATCATAGCAAATATACGTTATTTGCGATGCTTTTTGCAATTTACTTCACCACGTTAAACACTAAAAAACACTCGTTTGAGCGTGAAGGGTCCACCTTGAAGGTTATGGAAGAGCCTCGTAGCATCCCGTCGAGGGTGTGTGAGGATGCCCCGTGGCCATGGCCCCTTTGGGAAGCCTGAAGGTACAAGGACAGTAGGGCTGGAACACCTACACAGAATCTTATGTTTGTATTCACGCAGGGTTCTCTTTAGGGTTTCTTTGGTTCACTGCGCTGAGACTATCTTTTTCTTCCTCCCTGTCTCACCCATGTAATGTCAGGTGGTAAGGAATGGCTTATCATGCCAAGTGTGTATTTGTTTTACTTAGAATAATATTTAAATATTTGAAGACTGGTTTAAAATCTCAAATACAAGTTCTTAAAAAAAAAAAAAAGCAATGTGCTTAAGCCTTCTTGAAAAGATAGAGTTAACGAAGGGAAGAAATTTTATGAATTTCCTGTACTCGATCCACAGAGTCTCAGCCTTCCTGAATGGTAAGCTCGGACGGGCATAAGAAATTCCTTGGCAAAAAAATAGCCTCTGTTCAAAATTTGCATATAATTTGCCTCTGCATACATGAGATATTTATTAGCCTGTGCTTTGTATGCATTTACCTGTGTGAATTTTGGTAGTGTTAAATATTTGAAGCATGGAAGAGCAGGCCCAGGGGGATTTTGCTTCAGTTACGACTGGACAAATATCGCACGGATATTTTAAGGATATTGTCATTCACATGAAGCCTGTGTTATAAGGACATCTGCTAACAGTTCTCCGTGTCACCAAAAACATTATAGCAAAGTATCGAGTTAGAGGGTAGCTCATTTTCACTTGTGCTCACACACCACAACACTGAGGAAGCGGTGGCTTGAGCCCATCTGTCAGCCTCACCCCTCGCTTTCCCGATTCCACAGCCTGTGACATGAATGTGCACAAGCAGTGTGTGATAAACGTGCCCAGCCTCTGCGGGATGGACCACACGGAGAAGCGGGGCCGGATCTACCTGAAGGCGGAGGTCACCGATGAGAAGCTCCATGTCACCGGTAAGGCGTGCTCACTACGCAGCTTCTCCGTGGGCATTCGGGTCGAGGCCAGGTTGATGCCGAGGCAGGGGCTCAACATTGTCCTTGGGGCCGCTCAGACTCAGAGCCACCGATTTCCCATGGACACGTCTCCCCAGAGACTGCTCTGTACACCGACCTCCCAGCTACTCCAGTAGAGTCCTAACTGCCCTGTGGGTTGGGGTCTGATGGCCTGGCCGGCGTGTTGTCCCCTGGTGCTGGGGGGTGGGGTGCGGTGGGGTGGGGGGGTGGGAAGCAGCGACGGACTGACGCCGTCGGTGGGGTCTGCTCTGTCCTCCGGGCCGGCAGCCAGGGCCCCAGCCTTACGCTCGTTCTCTTCTCTGCTGAGGCTCCCACCTGGTCAAAGTCCTGTATGGGGGGTCAGGGAGCATGCAGCTTGGGAGGAAATGACCAGAAAGCAGTATGCGGCAAGGGATTCGGAAGCAGAAAGTTAGAAGGCCTGTTGGCTAAACACTTCCCTGTTTTTTCTCTGCTATCAAGCTGCTGCTGTGGGCAGTATAATAGACCTCACGGGGGACCGGTCAGAGCTTAATGGTGAGGGGCAGAGCTCACTGCTAGGCAAGAATGCTCTGGCGAGAGTTTCTAAAGGCTCAGCCCTCGTTCATGTTGTTTCTGAATACAGCAAAGCACACTGGACCTGCGCCGTGCCTTCTCCCATAATAAAAGCCGCAACCATACATTGCTGCTTGAGTTTTCCACGGTCTTCTCTGAGCTTCGGGAAGCTCACAGTCCCAGACGCCCCAGGTCCTGTGGGGGCATATGGTACACGGACGAGGAAGGTCAGGTCCCATCCTGCAGCACAGTGAGGAGTGTTGTCCTGGGACCCGTATGCTTTTTGCCCCGCCATGGCCAAGAGTTGAACTCGATTCACGACTCTGTAGAATCAGCCTAGGAGACAGCACCCTTCACTGAGGTAGACATAGATCTTCCACACGTGAAAGCCAACGAATCTAACTTAGAGCAACAGTCTAGGCCAGCCGTCTTGAGAATCCATCTAAAGTGCTTTGCATAGATACGGCTCCGCCCTGTGGATATGAATCCAGCAAGAGTTTAGTAACAGTGGCAACAGCAGCCGACACGAGCAGTCCCCACAAAAGGGGCACTTTCTGAGCACGTTGCGTAGTTAACTTCTCTAAACGTAGCTGGAAGTTTACTTTATTATCCTTACTTTAGAGCTGAAGGCACCAAGAAATTATGTGGCTGGCCCAAAGTCAAGCAGGTGGTACATTTAATAGTTAAATGTTTAATTGCTAATAAGTAGAGATAGTATGGGTAAGAACTGGAACGTTGTCTTAGTTCTGGATGCTGTCGTAAATACTATAGACCGGGTGGCTTAAACACAGACATTTATTGATCACCGTTCTGGAAGCTGGGAAGTCTGCTGATTTGGTTCCTGGTGAAGACTCTCCTTTTTGGTTCGTAGGTGGTTGTCTAGCTGCATCCTCACTTGGGGATGGAAAGAGAGAGGAAGCAAGCGCTTTGGTGTGTCTTTTATAAGAGCACCAATCCCATCACAAGGGCCCCACTGTCAGGACTTAATTATTTCCCCAAGGCCCCATATTGAAGGGGCCAGGGGTTCCCATTACCTTAGGGGTTAGGGGCTCAACATACGAATTCTGGGAGGACACATAATTCAGTCCATAGCAAATCTATGTTTAAAATATGGTTGTTATTTGTGTGAAGGAAATGTAATCCTAAGTATGGAAAGCAAAACTCAAGGAGGTAACTAATAGGTAATCATTTGTATTAAACTTTTAATTTAGAGTAATTTTAGATTATCAGAATCAGAATTAACTTTGATGTAGTGAGAACACAAATATAAATAATAAACCATAACAAGTAGAGCTCATGGTACAAGTAAAAAAAAAAAAAATTTGGAAGTAGTACAGGGTTCCCTTCGCCCAGTCCTCCTGCCCCCAGTATTAATATTCCTTTATATCCATGGGGTAAGTATCAAGGTAGACACATTTTTATTTTTTTTTATTTTTTAAAGATTTTATTTATTTATTTGAGGGAGAGGAGTGAGAGAGAGCATGAGCTGGGGCTAGGGGCAGACAGCGCCCCCACCCCACCCCACCCTGAGCTGAGCAGGGAGCCCGGTGCAGGACTCGATCCCAGCACCCCAGGATCCTGACCTGAGCGAATGCAGTTGCTTAACCGACTGAGCCACCCAGGTGCCCCTCAAAGTAGATACATTTTTAAATAGTACCTGGAAAATTTGTAAAAAAAAAAAAAAAAGTATCTGTGTACCTGTAGTTGTCACTAGAAATTATTTTAAAGAGCCAAAGAGAAGATATCAGACTTCTCTTAATCCAGTATGAAAAGACTGCCGGGGATACAAAGCAAAGCAGAAGCTGCCAACAACTCCCTCTCCTGCATGACTTGCCCAGCCTCCTAAACCAATAGTTCAGGCACAGATTTGTCGGGACGCACGTTTTCAATAACAATAGCTACCACGCATTGAGTACTTGGTATGTACTTACTGTTCATGAGACTGGACCTTTCTTTGTGCTAAGTGCTTTTTATTCCTTGTTTCATTGACCCCTCAAACAATGCCATAAAGTGCTATTATTATCCTCAATTTTGAGATGTGCAAGTGAGCTGAGAGAAAGGAAGACATTGTTCCAAGTTACAAGGTAGAAAGCGATGGTGCTGGAGCTTGAGTCCACGTCTGACCCTTGCTTTCAGTCCCGAGGCTGTGAACCTCCCCATTCTCTCATTAATTAAAGTCTTCTTTTGAATAAATAGCAAACCCATAAATATTCACCAAACCCCTGTTCAGCGCTCCACAGGTTCTGTGAGGGTACAGAAGGTCCCAGTGAGAGACTAAAACCAGGGGAGCATAAAAGGAACTCATGAAGGAATTAATGGACAATCCAAGTGCATGCAAAATTAAATGCTTGATTAGGTGGTGCTAAACGGTAATCATGGAGAAGGGAACTGAGAACCGCAGATATTTGAGAGGCAGAGGAAGAAGAGTCCCAGTAAAGGGCCCAGATGGAATGGCGGAAGCAGCCTGGCTTTAATGAGAATGCAGGTATAAACAATGAACCATAACGAGCAGAGCTTATGTCCAAATGCAAGTGATATCTTCGAAAATGCACTTAACCCCTGAGCAGCTGTGTTGATGGTTAGATTAGCTCAGCTCCATTTTACCTGTGCAGAATCACTCGAACATAATTCCCAAAGTAAGGTAAATAAAAGTAAGTAAAAAGTAAAGTAAAACAGAAATCTTTTGAAATCAGAGATGAGTTTCCTTTCTAGATCAGTATAGTATTTATGGGAAAGGCCTCTGTTTTAGTGGTATATTTTTATTTTTTTGCCTCTGGGCAGTGGTGCTGATATCTGAACAGTGTCATTTTTATTTCTTTCAATATGCGATTTTAATAGGTTTTCTACATTCTTGGTGCTTTTTTATTTGGTGTTTGGAGGAACGGTAAAAAAAAAAAATTCCCTCATGGGAACAAATTTTCAATTTAATGTTATAAGTAAATGGAAGAAATATCATGCTTTACAGCTGCTCCAGGAACACATGTCTCCCACAAATAGATTATTCTGCAGAGGAGTCTCATTTTTCTCAAATACTCTGGGTGGTTAATTTGGCTTGGAAATTGAAGTTCTCCTGCGAGTTCTGAGGGGGAGGGGAAGGCTCGGGGCAGGATCTGAGGCTCCTTGCAGCAGATGGGTCTGCCTTCTAGGGCGGTTTGCAATTTGGTGCCCGAGTCTCACCACCCCAGCCATCGAGACTGGTCGTCATGGTGTTGTGATGAAGCAATAATATTCCCTCTGTGTGTTTTTCCATCTTGTGAGCGTAGAGCCTACACAGTCAAGGCGATGAGACTCAGCTTTGGGTAACAATCATTGATTCTTCGATTCACCCACTCATTATACACTTATTGAGCATGTCTTCGGCTCTCTCAAGGTGCCAAGGAAGCAAAGATAATTAAGACATGGCCCTTATTGTGGAATGTGTGGTCTTTGTGGGGTGGGGGGGCAGTAGGGGGATGGATTAAGACATAAAAAAGGGACGACCGGGTGCGTATGCCAGGTGCCTTTATTTATTTTTCTTTTTTTTTATTATGTTATGTTAGTCACTATACAATACATCATTAGTTTTTGATGTGGTGATCCACAATTCATTGTTTTGCCAGGTACCTTTAAGTGCGGGGGGAGCTGGGGTGAGAGGTGCATCACCTACCCTGCGGAAGCTGCAGACGGCTCCGTGTAGCCAGTGACAGGGAAGCTGGGAGGACATTTCAGATAAAGATGCAACGCCGGGGAAGGGCATGGTGTGTTTAGGAAGCTCGCACAGCCCAGGACTCAAGGAATTTGGAGTGTGAGGTGGAGGGAGAGCCGGAGCGAAATTTCTTTCCATTTTCAAGGAATCCGGGCTATAGTCCTCATAGTTCACAGATTGTACGGTTCTTAGGGGTCATGTAGTAAGCTTAAATATCTCTTTTTCAAACAGGAGGATCTTAAGTTCCAATCGGTTGTGTTTGCAAGGATAGAGCATCAGTCTCCTAGCCTGAACTCCGGGCCTCACCTCGAGGTTCACAGTGACCCTTGACTTTTCTTTGTCACTGCTGGGAAAGGGGGCAGAGCAGGTAGCCCACTACTGATTGCCTAAAAGCTTTATAGGGATGCTTTTCCCAATGGCAGACAGGCTTGTGGAATATAATAATTAGTGTGGGGCTGCCAGCAAGGAGCCGGACCTAGCTGCTTGCTTAAAGGAAAAGGTATTACTCAGAGGTAATTTCTATGAAATAAAATCTTGGCTGTGGGGTTTGGATCAAGCTCGGGCACATGGCAGGTGATGCAGCTGATGTAGCTGGTCTGTGGGTTGGGATAGAGGAGGTCGGCAAGAAGCTGCTTACCTCGAGTATGTCTGGATTGTCCATTATTGGGGATACTACATTTGATCATCTAGTTAGTTCAGGTATTTTCATCAGATCCCTCCACTA